TGAAGCGGCGGTTGCTGAAGATGAGCTGCCGTACGACGAGTGGAAAATACAGCGCAGAGCGCTTCTGGATCGGCTGTGGGAGGAGACCATGTCTAAGGTCAAGCTTCCAGATGATCCCAATCTCTACTACGACTACTCCGATGATCCCGATGGTCTCCTCCTAGATTATGATTCTGAAACTGACATTGAGATGGACTAATGTATCTATCTAACTCGGTTTATGTCCACATTTATCTTGGCCTAGCTATAGTGGAGAACTAGTTAATTTAATTAGCTCTTCTATGTTATCTGGTCTAACCATATCTGAGGCTCTAAGCACTGCACTTATCCTTTTGATTGCATTCCAATATAAAAAAGTTCTATCTTTTATGTGTATATACTATTAGTACTGTACTCCATCAAAGATTACTCTAGCACTGTACTCCTTAACTATCCGAGCTATTTGTATATGTCCTTGTTTATCCATGTTTTCTGCAATTTTGATTTTGGGAGCATATGGAATCTCCTGTCTCGCCCATCAAAGAGGAGGTAGCTGCTCTGAGTTCTAACCGACATGCAGAATGCCAAGTTATCCTTGAGACTCTCAGTTTAGGATTCACTTTGTCGATCTGTCTATACATCTCTGTACGCATTTATGGGAGTGGATCCTAATCCCTCGAGGGGATATCCCCTCGTATACCTTTTTCTTTCAAATTCGATGCAAATAGTTGTGAAAAATTCTGAAAAAAATATACAATATAGAGTATAATGATACCTACAAGTCCACCAAAATTCATGTTTAAATTCGATCTACACATCGAGAAACAAAAAAGACAAATTTAGATATAAACAGTACGCTACTATTCATACGCTGAATTTGTCTTTTTTATATCTCGACGTGTGAGTTGAGTTTGGACTTAAGATTTTGTGGAGTTGCATATATGTGTTGTATGGATGTTGTCAAATTTCTCCAGAATTTTTCATAACTGTTTAGATGTTCTTTAAGCAAACGAGGGAACATCCCCTCGAGGGATTAGAATAGTTTCCCCGCATTTATCTATCTTTGTAAGCAGTTATGGCTTGGTGTTGGTTGGTCAATGATATGATCTTTGTTTTCATCCATCCATATCTATATGGCGCCATGATCTGTGTTGCTAATTGCTACGAATTAAGTTTGGAAGCGATGAAGAGCATGATTGGTACTGACGAACTAGTAAGTGTGCAGTAATTTGACATCATAAATCATTGCACTCTTCTTTCATTGAAAATTTCATGTGTATGTTTAGCTTTTATTTGTTTTCATAAGGTTTTATATTTGTCATGGCAATTCCTGGTTGCCTGATTAGATTGGATGGTTCTTGACTACTGCCAATCCAAAATATCCACTTGGCATCTGTGAAGCTCTATTCACTTAAACAATGTGTTTTTCGTTGTTCCTGTCTCTTGCTGTTTATTGATGATTTTTTTGAAAAATTTTGTCCATGATTCGTTTGAGATCATTGTTTTTTATTTGTGAGTACCAGATCATATGGGTTCTGTCAAACAGGCTCATTGAAATGGGCAGTACATGATACCAGGCAGCAGAATGCTTTTCATCTTGAAATACTAAGTTTATAGGGTTTTATTTTTCTTAGTTTCTATAGTGTGATAATTGTACGGATCTGTCTTTGTATCCCTTATTACCCTTTACAATCTGATGTATGCATCATTTTTCCTGTATATAATGCTGTAAACATAAGTTTTTGTGTGTTGAGAGCTTACAGTTGCTTTGTCCTTTCCGATGCTGTTTCAGAGCTTGTAATTGGCTTTTTTTTGGTAACCTGATGCAAGGGTTCTGCAAAGCAGAGTAACACATGCTGTATTGACCTTGTATGCAGTTGTGAGCAAGATATACTATTGCACTATTTTACAAGGTTTGCTTTCTCCTCTACTTTCTTCAGCTACCTTTCTGCTTCTTTAATTTCCTAAATTTGAATAATGCATTGACATGGCTTCAGAGATGTATGTGCCTTTCTAAGCTGTTTTGATTGCTCATCCTGATGCAGAGTTTCATGTTCAGGTTGCTGTCTGTTTGTCTTTATATGATTTAGAACTTCAGAACAAAAAAAAAAAAACAATCTGTTGGCATTGTTGTTCCTCTTGAAATTGTCACGTCTGTACCATCACTTTAATTATTTGAATCCTTCTTGACCAGCCGGTTCCATTTTTCACTGAAAAATTGACAGGGTTTGAAGTGTGTCTTGATCATGTCTCTGAAGGTAAGAAACCCCCCTGAAGTACTTGTTGTTCTCCAGGCAGGACATTTTCTTGACAGTTTGGATACTTACCCGGAGCAGCATACCCGGTGCAGCCTTGTTTTGCAATGGATTTCTGCCTTCCCAAACTTTTGGAAGATATCTACGAGGCTCTGTTACTCTCCAAACAGACAATGAGACAATTGCACCAGAAATTGTTGTGTTTATTGTCAGATCCTAAACCTGGAGTGTGGCTGCTATCATGTTGTGCTGATTCTTCATATATTATATACTCCATCCATTCTAAAATATAGCAATATCCAGACAAATAGTTACAAGTTACTATATTAATACTATTGGAGTATGTGCCTAGAAACATAGTTACGAGTTGCTATATTTTGGGACATAGGTAGTACTTTCTTCACAACGTAAGCATTCGTAAATATTTGGTCCTACCATGTCAGAGCTTTTGTTGTTTTCGCACCAGGAAATCTCCTAGATATATAGGCCTGTTCAGATTGTAGCCAAAATTTTGGCAAGTTGGCAATATTGTTAAAATTTTAGCATGATTTCTTTTGTATTTACCAAAGTTTGGCAACAAACTAAACGTAGACACTTTTTTTATAACTATGATAAAATTGGTATCGCTAAAAATGGCATCAATCTGAATAGTTCCTATATTGGATCTCTTTCACTGAATAAACGTGATTACAATTATGATGATGATGAACATGTGAAAGCTGAAATAAATGCTGCTCCAACCCTTTGGTAGGTACTCTATTAAGATAAAACGATTTCGACGCAGAAGATACCCTACTAAGAGCAGAGGGGTACCCTACTGTAGAGATCAGTGACCACTGTTCTCCGACCAGGCCCAAACCAGTCAAAGGTGAGGGTTTACTGTCGTCAGAGGTGACCTGATCTGGTGTAGCGAATGTTTCTCTGCACAAAATATTATGGGGGTATGTGGATATGATCGTGCAGCATATCTGTAATCTTGTGCCTGTTTCTAGGTGTGACTCCCCCCCTCTGTCAGTTTGTAGATGGGTTCCACAACCGATAGGTACCGTATCGATCAATACAGATGCTGCAATATTCCGGTCAGAGACCAGAACTTCATCTGTTTATTTGCATGCAATGAGCTTGTCTCAGGGATCAGTGCCAGAAGTTGCTGAGGCAGTGGCAGTGCGCCAAACCCTGTTCTTAGCAAAGGAAGAAGGATTCCACAGGATCATCCTAGATTCAGATCGCCTTTCTGTCATCCAACGAATCACGTTGGTTGTGTGCAACTGCTCGAGGGTAGGCTGTATAATCGATGATATCAAGAAAGATCCAGGCCGAATTCCTGCTCTCTTTCATTCATGTGAATCGGTTTGCTAATGTTGCAGAACATATTTTAGCCCGTCAGTCTGTGCTAAGTCCATGTTCTTCTAATCGCAGTGTAACCCTGGAGTGCATCTAGGATACTCTATGCATTGATGTTAATTAATTAGTCAGTGAAGTGCTGCGATTAACTCAAAAAATATGACTGAATCAAAATTTCATTCAGCTTTGATGGACTGCTCTGACTGAATCGACACTAGAGGTGCCCGAACTCAAGAAACATGTCCTTTTCATCTAGTGCCGACGATCGACCCACTACCCACCCACTACCTACTGTACAGCAGTACATGTCTCTATTTAGACACCTTCTACTCTCATGTGTATATCCATTCATCTACAAGATTCCTTTGAAACACTTCTCCCCTTCTAACCCCCCAAACTATTTCTCTTCTTTAGGAAAACAAAACAAGTACACAATCACAAATTAGAACTGGAAATGAGCGACATCAGGAGTGGAAGTCTTAGGTTGATGTACAGGGAGAGTTGATATCAGTTTGCAGTATCTTTACCAAGGTCTGGTACTGCCCAAGATGGTTTTAGATGTTGCCTCCTGATCATGTACAGCGGAAACAAAACACAATCAGAGTGTGGAGTGTGCTTGCAGGATATGCCGCGCGCGTTACATTTTGAGAATCTGCGAGTGAGCGGCTGTCCTGGTATGCTGATTCAGTTCAGTGCATGGTTGTAGTCTCGGAAGTTACTACTTATCTTGCCTGAGTTAAAAGGAGAATATGTATGGTGGTTGATAGTCTTTTTTTTTTTCGTTTTGCAAAATCAATCCGTCAGATCCTTTCATCCTATATCGATCATTCTTTTGTAATATTTAAATCGCTACCATTTGTAGTGATCCATCTTTAGTGACATTTTATGGTCAGATGATAGTTGATGGTTCAGCGCATTCAAATGAGAAGTCCATAGACAGTAGGGAGTCTAAGGAACATACAAATTTGCAACGGTACATGAGTATATATGATTGTGACAAAGATAGTTACAGGTGTACATGAGAAGTCTAAGGAACAAAGATAGTTACAGGTGTACAGCTTGCTTAGTTGTTACCCAAATATTTTGAAGCATCGGATATGATTGTGAAACGGTTCTTCTCCCCTTAACTAACATCACATTTTTGTAAATAACCTGCCGGTATAAGCTCATTAATTAATTTCTGGTTTCCAATTCCTCCTGGTTTTTATAGAGTATTGCGCTATGGGTCAAAGAACATGGTGAGTGGATCGATCCCTTCAAAGTTTTTATCAAAGAGTGCAGTGCAATAGACTAGCCCATGTGTTTTTATCAAAGAGAGTTGCATGTGGGATCTAATTCATAGTACACCAGTGGTCCACCCAAGTAGTGCGGCACATCAGTACAACACAATTGCAAAAAACAAAACAGACCAGTCAATAGAACTATAGTCAAGTGTGGCTAAACTTTATGTCGTTTTCTAGTAAAAGAAACATCATAAATCGATGATGTCATCAACAAAGCTCATCAAATGTAATTACTCTCCATGCCCGACACAGATGGGGTTGCCGCCCAATTGAGATGTGGGTGCCCGTTGTAGTGCAATATTCAAAATTTCTTAGGATCCCCCAATACATGCCCCTTGGGTTCTATTTATAGGCTTAGTACTTAGCTCATGTACCCTAGGGTTACTAAATACAAAGGAATTTATATGACTACTCTTATGATAAAGACATTTATGAGGGTAATTGTAACAATTCACCCAACGCTTCATCTTGGGCCACCAGGTGGGCCTCCATTGGTCGGTTGGTCACTTCGGTCCCTCAGCCCTTTTTGGTCTGGGGCAAAGGTCCTCGGCTAGGGGGCAAACATCCTTGGCTTCCCCTAGCCATTCGTGCTGAGCGTTCGTCTTTGTGACAATCGGCACTTTGCCACCATGCTTTGCCCTGGCGGTTGTGAACTAGTTTCGGCAAGCTCGGTCGAAGGTCCTCGTGACATACCTCCAACAGTAGTGATCCCATTCAATTCCTGAACAAAGTACTAAGTAGTTTTAGTTGTAGTAGTAGCACAAATTGTAGGTATGTGCAAGGGTTGGAGTAATTTGAGTACTGGTGTAGTCATGTTTACTTACTTGCACCACAGTACACGTTTTCAGTTATAGTGAATCTTTACTGCTGTCTCCTCTTGCTGTTCCACAACACTGTTGCCCATGACCGTGTCCTTTATCATCCTGTCTACGTTGGTTCGTCTCATTTGAACATTGAGATGATCGGGGAGATGATTGTTTGCAATGGCATTCTTCGCAGCAACCTCTGTAGCCTCCACTTGTTCTGCCCTCGCCTCCCTACAGTCTACCTCAATGACAAGATTCTTGAGGCAAGCCATGTTCTGGAGGCCTTCATAGAAGTTGCTGTCTAGAGATCCTAGTGTTCGTGCCCACACGTTGAACCGAAACTTTTCGAGCTTTGGCATAGCCCCAACCTCAAACAATAAAGGACCTAAGACATCTTGCCATGAATGGAAGTCAAATTCTTTCAGACATTGGAACCCATTGCTGCCGAAGACTAGCCTTTCAGATACAATTGTTTTTGTCGTAATTGAAAGAGATAAGAGAGAAGGCAAGTCCCCAAGGATCCGAAGAACATCCTTCCCCACAGAAGTAACATTGATGTCCAGGAATGCGACGTTAAAAAGCGTGGCCATCCACTCTGGAATTATGGGGAAACAGTAGTAAGTGATCATCTGAAAATTGTAAAGCGGGTAAGGAGGGTGAGACCAAGAATCCAGCATGAAATCCAGAGATGAATCATCACATCCAAGTTGTAGGTACCGAAGCTTGAATGTACACAGCTCGTCGATGCAAGAAACAAAGCTATCTGTGTATGTTTTCTTGTCAGGGTATGCATCACTAACACACCATATTATATACAGACATCTCAGGTCATTCAGACCACCCAGTTCACGCAAACAATCCACTGGGATGCTGATATCAACTTTCACCCCTATAAGTTTCTGCAAAGCTCTCATATTTCCAATTCCTTCTGGTAGAGTTATGCCATCAGCAACCAAAAACACTAAATTTTTCAGCCGAACTATGCTCTTGGGTAATTCTTTTATGCGGGTACGTTGGAGCTCTAGTGTCTGAAGTTCTTGTAGCTCGCCTATTTCTTCAGGAAGCTCACTTATGCCTACTTCTCTCAGCCTCAAGCATTTTAACTGAAATAATCTCCCTATATCCCTGAGATAACAATTTTTCAGTTTATCATTGCTTTCTATGGCAATTGTGCGCAGAACATGGAAGGCTGAAATAAGTGGAATGTGTTCGGTGGACCCATACACAACAAGTGATCGAGCACTCGAAAGAACCATGGTTGCTGGAAGTATAGCATCTCGCTCTCGGCAGTCGAGGGAAAGTCGACGAATTACCTTGTCTTGACATCCCAATAAATAATTATGAGAAAATGAAGTGATGAAATTTTCAACAACTGATTTAGATATAATAAGATCTAGAATCATATCATGCATTCGGCAAGCATGAGCTTGCCCGTCGTATTGGATTTCGTCCGGTTGTATCATGCTCCTATTGATTAGTTCATTAAAATAGCACTCTCCGACTTCCTCTAAAGTTCGTCCACCTTCACCTTGTGCAGTGACGAACCCTTCGGCTATCCATCTTCTTACCAATGGATCCCATAATATCAGCACATCCTCTGGAAATGTACTTAGATATAGCAAGCATGTCTTCAAATAGTGGGGCAGGTCATTATAACTAAGAGATAGAATCCTCTGCATGTTGCTTACACTGGGAACGTTCTCAGTTGCTGAGCAAACAGAATTTCTGTACCTCCCCCATTGTTCTTTTGTGCGTGGTTTGGTAGCCAATAAGCTAGCTAGAGAAATAATTGCCAATGGTAAACCACCACATCTTCTCAAGATGTCAATATATATGTCTTTCAAATAAGCAGGACATTGATCTTCAGAGCCAAAAATCCTTTTGATGAACAATTTTTCAGCATAAACATCACTCAGGGGTTTCATTTCATAAATATTTTTGCAGTCAGCCGAGCAACATGTTTCAGCTACAGAAATGATACGTGTTGTACACAATATTTTACTGCCACGGTAATTTTCACAGAAAGCGCATCTGATTGTTGTCCAAACTGTTGTGCTCCAGATATCATCAATTACGACAAAGTACCTATATAATTAACAAATGATAATCCCACACATAGGCACATATACATGCGTGAGACATGCGAAAATTAGTAATTCATCCGGTCATAATTAAAATATGCCTTTTTAGAGTTGGCGTAGTAAAACTAGGCTAACTTTTATTTCGATGTATGAAAGCATAGCCAAATTTAATTTGTTATTATTAACTAAAACTTTCGTAATTGTGTACCTGCGTAACTATTGTTTGGATATTTTACGAAAAATAATTAAGCGGTCATAATTATGTGTTATTAACTTTGAAATGCTTAAATAATAGTATTCTTTTTTGTCTGGAGGATTAATTACTAGTAAACCACCAAAAAAATGCACCTATAAACCTTATTATTTTATTTAGGCACGAAGAGGAATTGGAGAAACAAGAGAGAAGTAATTTTGAGTGAAATGTCATGGTTCGTTATCCATTAATTAATATCTTCGAAAAAGTACAGGGAGTAGTTAGTCGGTGCATTAACATGCAAATGTTGAAAAGAGAGCTAGATAGTTACATGTAGAGAAATGAGAAAAAAAGGTTATTTACCCTTTATACAAGCCTTTAGAATACTAGTGATTCAGGGTAGTAGCTCATGGTCGACGTAACTTTTTTGCCTCGTTGTGTCACAAGTTGAGTTAGTTGTATATGAGCTATATAGTCGAGTAAAATGAAATTAGTTAATTGGATAAATCATCCATAGTGAATGGCACCACTAGAATAGATTTTTACACGTGGGCAAAACAGGTTTTCATATAATTATATGCGGCTAGCTGGCTAGCCAGCTTATGATTAGGGGATATGAAAAAGGAAATTTTCACTCGCTAGCTGGCGATCCCACATGTGAAAATCCATTTTCACAAGTAGGCGTATTAGGATGGTCTTATGTAAGAACAATTTTCGCATACGACCGCACTGGTAGGAGAAACAGATCAAGATATTTTTATAAACGAGTCACCCCTTGATAGTTTTTGCGGCCAAGGTCTATCCCGGTGTTTAGGGATAGGGTCCTGGCTGCCTGTTTGGTATGAGAGGTATGAGAGGGATGGCATGGTTTTGTTCTTTTTTTCCTATGTTCTACTATTAGAAATATATGTTCTTGTCAGGGGCGGATCTACGGGCCGGCAAACCCAGGCAGCCACTCGGGCTGGTCGGTGGTTAATCCATTAAAATTTCATGTAATTAGAAAATTAGAAATAGAATTTATGTAGTAAATATTAGCTATAGTGAAGTTTGCCCGAGCTCCAAAATATTTCTAGATGTGCTACTGGTTCTTGCAGTAACAAAATGCTCATGGGTGAAGAAACTCATTCATCTAAGCGTTTTAGGCTATTTTCTCTTTGAAAATAATTTGCAATGACCACCTAATATTTTGAGGAGGCGGTTGTACATGTACATTGATAAGAGTAGGGGTAATGAAATAAATAATTATCGATTAGGGTAATAGTACGAAGTTAAAAATAGAAGTGCGTACCTTTTATCGTTGAGAAATTCTCTGAGTTTATTGATGAGCCGCTCCTCATCCCATGCATCTATAGCTCCGTAATCGAGCTCTGTTATATTGATCAGTATATTTTTGAATATTTTCCTTATGTCGGGTTTTTGAGAAACTGATACAAATGCTTGGCAATCAAACTGCCCACTAATTTTTCCATAAACTTGACGGGCAAGAGTTGTCTTTCCTAGTCCACCAATTCCAACAATAGACACCACCTGCAGTTTTTGCAGCAATTTATCATCCCCTTCGGTCAAAAACCTGATGAGCTCTACTCTTGGTGTATCAATGCCCACTAGGTTTTCTTCTTCTACATAGAGTGCTGGTAATCGAGGATCGATCGGCACCACACCAATTGAACTTGACAAGGTCTCATCAAAGTTGTACCTCTTGCGACGTTCACTCGCCATGTCAACACGAGCCTTTAACTTTATTATTTGATCAGCCATCTTGTCGCGTGCTCGAAGCATCCGCAGTTGTCGAATGCTCTTCTGCAAGAAACCTTTCATGCTTTCACGCCTGTGGGCATCACCATCTACCTGGAACATGAAATAATCAATTCTATCCTCAATATCATACGACAACTCCCGGATCTGGTCCCTCCACTCCTTCACTTGGATATCGAGGTCATCGATGTCCTCTAGCTTCAGGAGTAGAGCGTTCATACTACTTAGCTCATCCTTCAGGGAGAGGATCTCACTATCTACTCCCTTCAGCCTGTTGTACTTCATCTGCAATAGAGTAGAGAGTTTCCCAATCACAGGGCACAGGACCCCTGTGGCAACGCTCACCATGGTGTGTGCCATGGCTGAAGCGTGCTGAAAAATTAACCGCTACAACTTCTTGCAGATGCTACAAAGGATTAGGAACTAAATATAAGCTAGAGCAGAAGTATTGTGTACACAGAGATGACTATATATGCAATCTGGCCGAGGGTAAGCTGAGTGGTGGGCTCTATATTAATTAAGCCTGATGACTGTCCGATAGTTACAATGTACTCCCTCCGTCCTTAGGATTTTGACATTTTGCTTGCACTGTTTGACCATTCGTCTTATTAAAAAAAATTAGAATTATTATTTATTTTATTTGTGACTTACTTTATTATCCAAAATAGTTTAAGCATAACTTTTTGTTTTTTATATTTACACAATTTTTTTTTTGCATAAGACGAATGGTCAAACAGTATAAGTAAAATGTCAAAATCCCTTATATTAATGGACGGAGGGAGTAGGAAGGCGATACACATTTAGTACTAGTACTGTTATTGGGTTGCAAGTTGGATATAATTAGCTTCAAGTTTACACAATAAGAGATTTCAAGGTAATTATTGTACGGTATCCCATTAATTCAAACCAAATAATAGCAGACAAGTACCAGATCTGGTACCCTATTGGTACTAGTTGATACCCATCGATACTGGATCTACTATCCATCGGTACCACGTGAGACCCCTCGATACAAGCCGATACCTATTGTATATTGTTGATGGTCGTTATGTAGCAATTTCAACTGTCAATTAGCTCAACAAATAAAAGAGGCTAGCATTTCTTACACACATATTACTTACAAATAATGTAGTTCCACTTATTCTTCGATAATACATTGAATGCATGGATTATACAATAAAGTGAAGTAGAAAATATGATGGCATGCAAAAAATCACAACTCCGAGGAATCACGTGAAAGCATGTATGGATTGAAGGGCTCACAAGTCAGACCAAACCAACTTAATTTTGCTCAATCCACCGTGCACCGCCATAGGGGTCCACATAGCAGCCTTTGGGACAAAGTCGGTGGAGAGAGGGGTGGCATAGAGGTTGGCTGAACCGTTATCTTCCCCCCTCATATCCACCTTCTACGTGGATGTCATTGATTGCCTCCTAATGACGGTTGTGAGCGTTAACCGACATTGGCAACCGTCATAAGCAGCTACTAGTTTATACCTCACGCTTTGCGGCGGGATGTGTGGATGAATGCATATTATACATTGTAGAAATGATAGATATATATATTTAAATAATGTGAAAAAGATATGGAGATAATGATTTAACATTGCTTGTATGACCTGTAAAAATATAACAAAATTCTAAATGATATGTTATGTTTGCATGATATTCAAAATACTATAGATAATTATTGCTGGTGGATAATGATGTGGTACACTTGTATGTGATTTAAAATATTCTAATTAATAATTGTTAGTGGGTGATGACGTGGCACACTTACATGATGAGCTTTAGGAGTTAGTGGACATCATCTATACATATAGTACAGATAAAGGAGGGAAACTCTCACTTCACAACACTCAAGAAGCAATAATAGAATAGATTAGTGGAGTTTAGGCTTAGAATAGTTCTTATGTTTACTAGTCTTCTTAAATATTCAGGTATGTATTTGTAAGACTACGAGCTCAATAATAGAATTATCTTCTTTATTTAATTGTGCTCAGGGATTTTATGCTCGGTTGTCGATCTATGCTGCAACATTGGTCCGATGATGTTAACGGGTCATACTAGTTCTTACTTGTCCATATGTAGAGTGCGAGTCCTGAGGAAATTAGTGATATTATTTAGCAATGTAAGCATAGTGCATAGATTGATTAAATATCGTTCGATGTGGGTGTGCCCCACAAAAAGTGAGATAGGCGGCAGGTGGTGACAGCCTTGTCCGTCCTTTGTATTCCTCCACATTTAGGTATGATGTAAGATTTGGTAAATGCCATAACCATACTAGCAGACCAACAGGGGATGGTCTCTCGGTAGTGTCTGGGTGCATAGAACTATGTCCTAGCTATATATATGTATATGATTGTTGTATTGACTAAACATGATAAATATAGAAGTACATATGAAACCATAGCTATTCATTTTGTCTTTCTCCAATCGCTAGTTTACTTATTGAGGTGGTTCTTCTGTGTGTCACGCTACCTAACTATTGTCATGATTATCATTTACCCATATTAGACCATAGTATATTAACTATAGCATGATTTTGAATATATCGGCCTATTCTTCATATTGTTGTCTTCCCTACGGAAAAACAAATAATGATACTAAAAAGGTCACTTAGGCCTAGAGGGAGGGTGAATAGGCTAGTTTAAAAACATAGGTAAATGTGGAAGCAATACTTTTTGAATATATCCGAAAGTATTTTCGGATATTCCCAATAATCACAGAGCAAATGAAAGTCAAAGAGAACTGGATCTAGCTAGTCACAAGAAAGATGAGCAAGCACAAACAACAACTAGACTAGAAGCGGCACAAGCAAGCAAATCTAGAGAAAGGAGTCAGAGGGATATCACCGATGTTCTTGCAATATGAGGTGTTCCTGAAGTTCGAATCCTGAAGGGTATTCTAGTCTATGTTGAGGAGCTCACAAAGAGTCGGATCTTCGCCAACCCTTTCCTCAAGAGGTTGCACAAAGCACTCATTTTTTCACTAGTGGTATCTCTTCCCTTTCGGAGGTGAGATTCAACTTTCACAAACTTCTCCCCGCCAACCACAAGTAGATCAGTGGCTTAAGACCGATGCCTAGCCCTCTAGGAGGCCTCAACCCCTAAGAGTAAAAGTAGAAGCAAGATTCTCTTGGGGACGAATCAAGTCCTCAACAAATCTTCATGAAGTCAACACCAAGCACGCACGCAAACTCAAATCCAACACTCTCTCACACAAATGAAATCTAAACATGAAGATCGGTGGAGAGGAAGAAGCAAGGCTGAAAGTAGATCTCAAAGAGTTGCAAGCTGTTGGTATTTCTTGTGGTCGCCGGAAAATCCGCAAGCGCACGGATACCGCAGTAGCATTTCACCCAAGAGAATTCAAAGGGTATCGTATTTATATTTCCGTAGGGAAGCGGTGGTGTAAAGGTAGAGTTCATATATCCTTAATCAAGCTATATGAGTAGTGTGACGCACAAGAGATTCATCTCTAATAAAGATACACTAAGCAGGGGAGAAGGACTAAAGAGAGCTAAGGTTCATATGTACTTCCATACTAGTAATGTCTAGTATACACTTAACACATACGTGTTTACAAGGCTAGGATTTTGTTCCCAGGTACCTAGGTACATATGTGTTTACAAGGCTAGGATTTTGTTCCTAGGTACCCAGGTACATACGTGTTCACAAGGCTAGGATTTAATTTTCCGTCATAGCCGGATGTGAAGAAATATAAAGGATGGACATGGCTGTCACCACCTGCCACCCCCCTCACTTTCCGTGGGTCATACTCACATCTAACAACATTTAACTAACCTAAGAACCATGCTTATGTTAATAACTAATGTTACTAATTCCCAGGAGACTCCCAACTGTTTCGCCGAATCATCAGTACCACCTCTCTCAACCACATTTCACTGAGGACTGATATGTGGGCCCCTAAGGCGGTGCCCGGTGATTTAGTCCCACTTTAGGTCGGTTCAAGCTAACTTTTGGGCCCATCAATCCGTCTGCTCACACGTGAATCGCTTGAGGTGTGTTTCTTTGGGTGTCGGCTCATTTCTCCTTCACTTTAGTTTATAATCTCTGCATACATAGTATTTATCCAATACAAGTTGAACTATATTATTTAATTCTAATATATGTGCAAGAAATGTTAGTTCTCCGTTTGTTTATTATGGCAGTTCACGATCGAAATTGGTACTTAACGACCATCACCAACACCACCAAGCTAAACCTTTGCTCATCCTCGAGTAAAGGTAAAACTTAGGTTGTTCATTAGGAGTTGCTACTATGTTTTATTCCACAATAGCACTATGCCTACAACATATCGTTTTACCTAGAATTTGAATAAGTTGACAATAGTAATTTTACCTCTCTTACCTTACTCCCCATGGGGCTTTTAGCTTATCCTCGTCTTAGGTAGTTAAGAGATAGAACGGATCGTAGAGTATAGATCACTTACTCTTTGGTTTACTTTATCAGTAATGTCGGAGGAGGTTAACTTTTCTCAGGAGAATGATATTTGCGCTTACATTTGGGGAAATCTTAAGTACTCTTCTCAAAAGTTTTATGCCCCAAACTTTCAGGCCATGCAACCACCTATTCATTTCCATTGGTTATGGAAGAGAAAGGCCACCTCGAAGGTTAAAGTTTGATGGACAGGTTGAACACAAAATATATGTTGAACCATAAACATTGCGGCCCCCATGATTGTGATATCAGTTGTGTTCTTTGCCCAGCTCACCCCCTTTAGAATCTACTGCATCTCTTTTTTTAATGTCCCTTTGCAAAGTCATGCTGAGCTGTTCTAGGTATCTCTTGGGACACATCTTTGAGCTTGGACAACATGTTGGTGCACTGAAGAAACTGTTACCAAGGCCACTGTTTCATGTAAAAATTTCTTTATGGGGATTGGAATATTTGGAGGCAAAGGAATGGTTTCATCTTATGATCATAAACCCCCTTCCTTGGCTTCATGGAGACAGCTATTTAAGGGTGATTTCCTTGTGTTGTTGCTTCGGGTGAATGAGAAAGACAAAGATGTAGTTCTTAAATGGATCTCTTTGTTGTAATTTCCCTTTTTTATATACTTTTTCTTTTCTAATAAAATCCTTTTAACAACAGGGGCTGTGTTCCTTTATTTATTTTCTAGTCGAAGCACCTATTATTTATTTTCTTTGGAAATTTTCACATCAGCGCTCCACAGCCTCTTATGAGCGTCAGATTGGTGAAAAGCACTCCGGTGACAATTAGAATATGGGAGCAATTGACTTTTGGTTGAACAAGCTTGGGAGAAAATTCTTTCCCACATGTGAAGGTCTCGGGGGCTGCTATGGAGATTATGGATACCCCATACACACTCGGCCTGCTTATCCAATAGATTAGGACTTGGGTGTAGTGTTGCCTTGTTTGCTACGGCATGGCCTGTAG